AAGGAAAATCAATGACCCCCCCCCCCCGGGCGGGGCCAGTTTTGACCCCAGGGCTTTTATTTGAACATACTTGGTAGACACCCATTAGAACATGTTTGCATGCTAAATATCTTAGCTCTAGCTCTTTGAGTTCTTTAAAAGAAGATTTTTTAAGTTTTTACTATATGCATATAGGGAAAATCAATGACCCCCCGGGGCGGGGCCAATTTTGACCCCAGGGCTTTTATTTGAACAAACTTGGTAGACACTCATTAGAAGATGTTTCATGCTAAATATCTTAGCTCTAGCTCTTATGGTTCTTTAAAAGAAGATTTTTTTAAGTTTTTACTATATGCATATAGGGAAAATCAATGACCCCCTGGGGCGGGGCCAATTTTGACCCCAGGGCTTTTATTTGAACAAACTTGGTAGACATTCACTAGAAGATGTTTCATGCCAAATATCAAAGCTCTAGCTCTTACGGTTCTTTAAAAGAAGATTTTTTAAGTTTTTACTATATGCATATAGGGAAAATCAATGACCCCCTGGGGCGGGGCCAATTTTGACCCCAGGGCTTTTATTTGAACAAACTTGGTAGACACTCACTAGAAGATGTTTCATGCCAAATATCTAAGCTCTAGCTCTTAGGGTTGTTTAAAAGAAGATATTTAAAGATTTTTCTTTCGGTTGCCATGGCAACCAGAGTTCTGCATGGAATTAAATTCTTTGAACAATTTTTAAAGGTGACCACCAAAGGAACATTCCTGTGAAGTTTGGATGAAATTGGCTCAGTGGTTTATGAGGAGATGTCATTTAAAGCAAAAGTTTACGGACGGACGGACGACGGACGGACGGACGCCGGACGAAAAGCGATCACAAAAGCTCACCCTGTCACTTTGTGACAGGTGAGCTAAAAATGAATAATGGCAAGTCTGCTTTCATTCAATTCAAATGTTACAAAGCTTTATAATTTTAACAAGAGCTGTCGTAGGACAGCAATGCTCAACTATTCTTAGTGCTTGATAGTATAAGAGCCTTGATAATGTAAAATTTTCTGAGTTGATAACAAAAGGACAAAGTTCTTCTTTAAATCAATGTTACAGTTAAAGGCCTTAGAGAGAGTCCTATTATGCCCTCAAAGAATAGTATAAAATTTCTATTTGTTTCAATAGAATATGAAAATATCTGAGGTGGTATGCAAACCTAAATGTAAATTCTAAGTTGGAAAAGGGGCATAATTCTGTCAAAATGCTTGATACAGTTACCTCCTCCTGTCTACAGGTTGGGGTCATGATGGTAAACAAGTGTGCAAAGTTTCAAAGCAATGGACTTTGAAAATATTAGAGGTATTACAAAAACTTTAACATAAATTATAAGTCGAAACTTTAACATAAGTGGTTACGCTGACGCGACACTCGGGTGACTACATATAGCTTTATTTTTATTCTTATCGAATTGTGGAGCAAAAAAGGTGTCTTACTATCTTTCAACTAACCAAACTATAAAGGGAAGTGTTAACACTTATATAAAGCAATATTTATATAAGTTTTGATTTAATAAAATGAAAAATAGCTCTACATTCATTTGTAAGAATGTGGACTGTATGTTTTGTTTATATTTAGAATTAATTTGAAATTTAATAACACTAGATAAAGTGTAGTTTTATCAGCATATCAAATCAATAAAATTAAAGAATCTATAATTATAGTTGAAATGCTTGACATGTTGTCTTTTTTGCTCAAAGCTTTTATAGTTTAAAAGAAATGGTCCGGACAAAAATAAATTAAGAAAAAATAAATTAAGAAAAATAACAAAGGCCAATTACTCAAAAATCATCAAGTAAAGAGTATTGGTTTTTGAACACTGCACTTTATCTCATTGAGATCTAACATCCCATGAAGTTTCAAGTCCATAGCTTTTATAGTTTATGTGAAATGGCCAGGACAAAAATAAAGTATGAAAATTAACAAAGGGTAATAACTCAATTATATTTAAGAAGTGCAGAGTACTGGTTCTTGTGCACTGTGCTTCTTCTTAATGCGATCTATCATCCAACGAAGACTCGAAACAAAGGGATCCCTCGGAAGCAATTATCACCACAAAATTACATGAAAAATGCAGACTCAGTTTGATCGAGTCTGTACATGAGGGATAAGTTTCAAGAGGGATAGTTTATGAGAAATGGACAGAACAGAAATAAAGTATGAAAATTTTGAAATGGCCCGCACAAAAATAAAGTATGAAAATTAACAATTGGCAATAACTCCAAAAATAAAGGTGCAGAGTAAGGATTCTTGTGCACTGCACTACTTCTTAATGAGATCTATTCCTTTGAAGTTCATAGCTTTAATAGTTAAGGAGAAATGGCCCGGACAAAAATAAAGTATGAAAATTACAAAGGGCAATTACTCCAAAAATTCATAAGTGCAGAGTAAGGATTCTTGTCCACTGCACTTCAGGTCATTGAAAAAGCATGCATACCAAGTTTGGAGTCAATCCCACTTTTAGTGACTGAATTATGCATGGGACAAGCCTTAGGGTATGATGTTGACACTGACACCGCAGACAAAAGTAACACCCCATATGTGGCCTTTTTCAAGGGGACACAATAAAGTGTCTGTTACGACTTGGGACAATTTTATATACCTACAAGTATGCAAAATGATTAATTGCACTTATTACAATATATTAATATCACTCAAGTTTTTTCCCTTTAATTGTAAAAGGCCATTTACATCAAAATATTTTACATTATTTGCTAAGTTAAATATTTCACAATGTATTTAGAGCTATTTGCATTTCTTAATGAGTTCTGGAAAAAAGCCTTTAAAAATAACTTTAAAATGGTAATTTTATTTAAATATTCAGCATTTGTAAACCCTTAGTATTTAACTTTGAAATAGTAATTATTGAGCTCTGAACAAGGGGAAGTAATCCTTAGATGACACTTCTGTATATAGGGAAGAGTTGTCTCATAAGAAATTGTCGTATTCTGCATGGAAATGAAGAAAACAACACATAATATTCAAGAAGAATATACAACAATATGGAACAGATTCTTTACAGTAAACTGTTTTAAAGCTTGGCTTTTTTGAGATACTAGAATAAACTGCGCATTAGTGTAAAATTTCACCATTTTCATGTATAAAATGTTGTCTAAGCTGGTGAAAGGGGGACATGGAAAGTTGCATGTACATGTACCTACCCGGTACCACTTTTATCCATGAACAGTTTAAGTTTGGCTGAATCATCATTCAATTACAATGCAAATATATTAGATGAATATAAAAATGTTATTCTCATTGTCAGATATCACATTGTCATTGTTTTATCTTTCTTTAAAGAATGCTTCACTCCTTAATAGGGTTTACTGCTTTTATACCCTGAAAATTATTTCATTTTGTTAAGCAATCAAATTTTTTTGTGTAGCATAAATTTCATGTGATGTGTCAAGATGTTTATGTTAAGGGAATATTTACTTTAATTTATAATGACTCTGATCTGTTTGATTATTTGTAATTAATTTATTCATGTACATGTATTGTTTATAATAAGTCCATTATAATATCTATCAAGTGTTGCGGTTTGGATTGGATATTCCGATCCGAACCACAAACACATGTCAGGTATTTTTTCTTGCATATTCTACCATATTCCATTATATTTTAAACTCATTACCTTAATATAACATAACAATTTTTCATTGAAATTTATGTAATTACACCCGTAACTATTTTCTTACAACAGCATATGAAATTACAACATCATTCATAACAGTAAAATATGTCATCCTAAGCATGCCATTGTACAGCATGCGACTCATCTAGCACTCCCAATTACTGATGAAATATTTGGCATGGGAAAAACTAACAGAAACGCCAGTCTGATATGCAAGAATCATTGTTTAAGATGTCTGTTTAACAAGTTTTTTTATGGAGCTCTATTGTGTACATACATGTGATATCCCGACGGGATTTTAAAAAATCCCGATATTGAGACCCTAATCCCGATTCCCGATATCAGCTTATGAAATCCCGATATTTGTCTCTCACAAAAAAAAAAATTGTCGGTAAAATTCCATATCTCGCACCTTACGGTAAAGTCAAAGTGTGCCGATTATCTCGGACGTAAGTGTACAAGTGTGCCGAATGAGAGGATTAACGAGTGACACTTTATGATATTGTTTATTGGATAATTGGATAATTGATTGTTTGTTTGGATAATAATTATTGAATTCACACGTTAAGCGTGTCTTTGAATAGCCACCTGACTGCAATTAGCAGATTTGTTTAATACGCGGCGGTATTTTGTGATGTCCAAAAGATGTTTATGTCCGGATAATAAGACACTGTAAGAGAAAAACTATTCGTCTTTTGATCTGCTTTAATTTTTTTAGCACGTTTTGTATAATTATTTTACGATGGAGAATAAAATGATTTGTCAAGTCCTTTCCTGGCACATTTACTGAAAAGTCACTCATGACTGCTATTAAAAATGTATGCCAACTGTATAAAGATAAGTGATGTGATGACATTAGATAAGTGATGTGATGACAATGATTGATAAAGGAATGTGATTGTTCCAGAAAGAACTGATGTGGCATTGATATTGAAATGTGACTAGAAATTAGATATAGGACATGTAATAGTATTATGTTTTTGTTTTGTTAAATGTGCTTGATTAGATCATGAATAAAATAATAGGAACTTTACTTTTTACTTTCTGTCATTGTTATTATAAAATGGTCTTTGTGTAAAAGGTTTCTACGAAATTTGCTTAAAGCGCATTGAAATTTAAGTCGATAAAAAAATCCAGTTTTGAGCCCCAAAATCCAGCTGAAAATCCAGTTTTGGCCCATTTCAGTTATCACATGTATGTGTGTATATAGAGTGATACGTAAATAAACATAAGAGCGAGTGAATTGGCAGTGTAGACTTTTCCATCTTTTTGGATATGAGGAGGAGGGGAATCTATCAACATTTTATTCTATATTAGGATTAATATTCAATCTTTACTCTTACCAGTATTTATCAGATACAGCTGTTGCCATGGCAGGATAATTTCCCTCCTGTACCATCGTTTCCACGTCAAACACTATGACACATTCCTCTGGGTATTCTACAGGAACTGGAATCCCATCCTCGTCGTACTTCACCCAACCTGGACAGAATGCCCACTCTGATGGCATCGTAGGAATGACAGACGAACATAAACACTCTGCCAGGTCAACATAATCTTTCACCTGCTTCTTCCCAAGATTCATAAAATGTTCATCTATGTCTTTACCTAGGAAAGAAATTAAAACAAAACCTACAGCTCAACAAATGACTTTGGCCCTGAATATAGAGAAGTATATTCAGATTTTTCACTATGTTATTGCAACTTATTAATCATTTTACATAGTAGGATTTGTCTTTATATGAAAATTTGCTACTTTCAATTTGGACCCACTTAGTGAAAATCAAACATGGCGGACAATGCGAATCTGACACCTTAATATTTAATATTAAGAGGTCAGGCTGTTCTTTACCTTTGACCCTGTGACCTCTTGGTCAGTCTAAGGAGACCAACTGGCAGCTTTAAAACAATATGCCCACTCAATCTATTGATCATGGGGCATACAAAGTAGCTTTACAGATTTAAAGTAATACACCAACAACAATTAATTTTCAGTCAAGAATAAAGACCATCCTACTATTAACACCAGTTTTTAAAAGAGCAAAATTTTCTGTTTTTATGTGAACAGTAACATGATTCACAATTAAGACCACACTGCTTATCCATTATTAAGACTGCCAGATTCAGTCCTAGTATTTATTTGTTTTATTCTTTATTTAACCACACTTGTGAGACCAGTCAATAACCCAGTCATTATTGATAATCCAGCAATAGTAAGTTTTTATTGTATTTTGATAAATTTTCATACTTATAAAGAACAATACATAAGTACAATTCATTAGCATGTAAGTTGGACATACCTAGTAGCGGTGGTAGATTAAAATTGACATCTTTGTGCAGGTTAGTTTGTTTATCCCACAATTCATGCTGAGACAAGTGTTTCTTTACTTTTTTTAGTTGACCATCATCTAAAGTTTGTTCTTGTTTCACGTGAATCTCCTCCCCTGAGCTATCAAACTTACCTAACAATAAAGAAAAAATATCAGCACCATTAAGATAAGATCATGTAGATATGATGTGACAAATAAAGAAGTCAAAAAATTCAAGATGGGTGTATTGTGTTATCTTTATATTAAATATTTTAAACATTGTAAGCACAGTTGCACTAAACAACAACATATATATCATTTCTCATTTTTCTAAAGGTAAAAAATATTTTTTATGAACTATATATTACCAATATAGTTCACATCAAGTACACGTATTGCTTGTTGAAAGATGAAAATCGATGGCAAATTTTTGCTCGTAAAAGTGAACAATTCTTAACCTAAAGAGCTTTGTATAGGTGCTCCTATAAAAATAGAAACAAATAAAAACTCTCAAGCAAGAAAAATGGTATAAATGTAGGTCAACATATTTCATATTTTTCTCAGTATCTTTTCAATTCTTCTCAAAACCCTGTTTTATCAAATAAGATAAGATTTTTTTTTCTAATGAACACATCAATTAGTTTCCTATTTCATTTCAAACACTTTTAAATAAAGTGGAATATCCCAAAACTGTGTTATCTTTGTTAGTTTTTCTAGTGTATTTGGTTATTTTTTGGTAATACACAGACCATTTATGCTAGATAAAGCAACACTCTTAAATGATAAAGATTGTGTTTGTTGCATACATACGTTACTCTAAAGAGATTAAATTTACACGTTCATATGTAATGTGAATTCTTATATTAAGAAGAAAGGACACTGTTTTCGTACAACAGAGGTTCACGCTGAGGTTGTGATGTAAAGTGTTTAAAACAGGGATTTTACAGGAAGCAGGATCCTGTATCCATATACCCTTAAAATGCCTAATTGGATGCACAGTTATTTATGTCCTGCATCCAAGTGGATGCACGAAAATAAAACGCTGACTTCATTAATATTGACCTTGATATTAACATCATAAAAAGTGCAGTACAGAAGTGTTTGTAACATGTAAGTAATCATTGTAAGTACAATGTACCATGATTTAGAAAGGAGTCAGCCTGCTTGAATTAGATATATGAAATCTTGAATTAATAGTTGGACACCATGAATTTGCTTCAAATTGGATCCCTGGAAATTGAAAGTGATGTATAATTATGTAAATCCCTGTTTAAAGTACGTATAAACATCCTAAAATCATTAATGATGTATTAATCAGATAGTCAGTTGAAAAAAATTATAATACTAAGAAATAAATATATTAAATATATTAATATATTACTTATTTCTTGTGATTTTGTGCACTGACTGTTTCTGAATATCTGTTGTTGAAGAGTTTCTGACAGCAATTGAATGTTGATCTCGTTGACCCTTGGTCTGTTTATACCGAGATGACATGAAGTAGAAAAACCTCTCCTTAATGCACACAGCTTACACCATGACATTGTTACCTGTAAGATAAAAACAATAGTATCATAACTTTATTTTAAAAAATGTGTCTTTTAAAGATATTCCATTTCCATGTAGATTTTTGAAATCAGATGAACAATTTAAATAAGATAAGCAGTAAACTTTGGTTAATTATTTGATGTTCTCTGAATTTTTTTAGTGCAAAAATACAATCTTGTGAAAATGTTTCACTTAACATTTTTCAAGTTTTATTAATAACAGCTCTAACTTTTAAAGCAAACACAGGTATTTTTTTTCTTTTTCAAAATAATAAAATAACAAGACTTGAATTTAAATTAAATAAAATTGGGAAAAAATTAAAACTGTGGCCCCGCTCGGGCTTTCCTCATAATCTCGGACTAAATACAGACTGAAAGAAGTTCTACCATTATGATTACTTTTTCTTAAATATTTAGCTTCTTAATCTTAGCTAAGAGAGGAATACTTTATCTGTTCAGTATGTTCTTACTTTTGTGTCTGAAGTTTGACATATGGCCATATTAATGGGGCCAAAAGATACATTTACCAAATAATGCCTAATTCAAAGCAAAGCGAGTCCATTACTTTAACAGTTTAAGTGTCAACTGAGAATAATAAATTTTTTTTCAAAACATGATTAATGTAATAGGCCTACAAATTACCTGTTAGAGTATTAATATTAGAAGATATTTACACATAGTTTTAAAATAACTGATTATTTCTCTTTAACCAGTTCACAACTTCTTGTTATGACTTTAGACAGGCGGTAATGATTTAAATCATTTAAATTACACGAATGCAAAATCAAACTTGAGTGTCATGACGAATAATTATTTCAAAGTCACTAATTTCATCGCTACTGTCCGAAATACAGTACCTGTCCGAATTCAATATAATACGAAAAACAAATAAATTATGCAAAGCAAAGTTGCAGTAGATATTACTGTAACGCATGTTATTCTTACTTATTTCAGCAGTCAAGATTACTCAATATCATACCATGACAAGTTGCTATTTCACGGAAATCTTCAATGATTTTTGTAAATTAAAGGCATGTTTTTATTTTTTTAATCGACCTAACGCACAAAAACTAAACCAAAGAGCAGATACATTTAGCGGAAAGACGTCTACGGTTTACCTGATACCATTGTTTTGACAACGGTATTATGTATATAAAATGATAATATATCCCCATCTGTGGCTTTTAAATCACGGATTTATATTACGGTTATTTTCTTAGACAGCAGCATTCAATGATGACACTCTCGAAGCAAACATGTCGCTCACCTCTCTTTGCAAGATAGGTATAAACATCCCTTATCAATCTTAAGCAATTCTTATATTTAACCAGTAAGATGCTAATAAATCATGAAATGTGACTAAAGTTATCCCATTAAGCGCCATGTATTGCAACTAAAGGGATGAATTCCAGTTTGGTAGACAGAAATAGATATAAAGGAAACGGGAACAAGCTGGACATTTCATTCCCAAGACACTCACCCCTTAAATGTTGAAGACTCTTTACCACTCAACCCCTAAAGATGAGCCTCACAATAAATGAATAAATAAATAAAAATCAATTAATTAATCAATCAATTAATTAATAAGTTAGTTAATTAATTAATGAGTAAGACACTTAAATAACCCTCGTCATTTTTTTCTAGAGTGTATAAATATCAGCAATTTTTATTGCTATTTTTGAAACTCAAAGTTACTTTTAACGTAATATTTTTGAGAGAGAGAAAAAAAACGATAGAAAATTATATACCAATACATACGAATATGATCTTAATTATTTACCTGTTGCACTGTTGGCAGAAAGTGAATTCAGCCGCAACACCCATCCGTCTGATCATGGTCAGCACTGTTCGTTACTCAGTAAGTATTTTCATTATGCTGAATGGTTTTGTCCAGATAAAAAAAGATGCACGCGTTTATTATAGATATTAAGCGTAGTTAAAAAGTCTACAAGATAAGCAATAGCGGCGCATACTCTAACACGAAAGAGAAACTGTGCATATGTAAGGTCTAAATTAATTTTGTCAGATTTCTCCATTGAAAGTTCCTTATGTTTGGTACTATTTTAAAGCTTATTTATCTGCTTACAAAATAGTGTTTTTAATTGAAAACATGTAGTTTCCTTTGGGATGTTTTCATCTAAAAAGCTTGCAATGCTTACTGTTATGTGAAAATGAAAAATACCCAAACTGATTGAATTACAATGATTTGTCATTTATATAGAGTATGTCTCAGAATGTCGTCTAAACCGTCCGACTAGCCCAATAGGTAGAACTGTTGACGGTGCAGGCCACTTTTGTTGTGATTGATAATGAAATGCTTTCTTGTACCGGCCTCTGCTTTGGCATGTACAAAAATTATCAGTTCTTCGCGAAAGCGAAAGAAACTATTACTGGTAAACTTGACAACCCTCCTAGAAATAATGAGGTGGCTGAAGAGTGCTCTTGATAATTCAAATTGGCTAACTGCCGTGATCCAGAGGAATAAATGACCAAAACGTTCACTCCAACCATGTTGTCACATTTTTCCTCCGAACTGTCTCGCTTTAGCAGAAGCAAGTTTGGGACGCGACGTGTATGCATCATTTTGATTTCAATAACATCAGTTACTACAGTTTTAAAGTAACCACAAACCATTCCAGTTTGCTGTATATCTCTGAACGGAACGAATATTAGATTACTTACATTGTTTTTGGCCCGTCTGACAAAGTCTACTTTGCATATCTTTTTTTCAGATGTTTTACACATGCAAATCATTTATGCATATACCACGGATTTGTAAATCCGTGCATATACATACAATGTATTGAGATATACCTTAAAGTTCAAGGAGGAATAAGAGATTTCTTTTAAGACTTTAAAATATAATAAAGTAATAATTCAATAGCATTTTACCAAAGTTGTCAAAATTTTAATGCCAGACCTATTTTTAATATAATATATGAAAAAGATTCATTTTCAGAACTTATTACTTTAAATTTTTATAAAACTTAATTTAACATAATATAACATTGATACTTATATTGGAAAAATTGTCATCAATTCAAGGGAAACAACTCATACTATTTTAAAATTGATATTCAATTAAGAGTTGTTCTTGTCATGATATATCGAATACTTGATTTTCCTATCTTTTATTTATTACTTGGAAGAAAGTGTTGACTTTTTACTACAAAATTAACATTGACCGTGTACGGAAAAAAGGCGCAAAACGTTTCTAGTGAGGCGTAACGTGAAATTTAAATTTTACCTGTTGTTTGATAGACAAACTATGCTCTTATGGTTTAAATTTGCAACAAAATAAATTATGCCAACATAACTTCACATGGATTTATAAAAACTAAAACGAACCATGCACAGTTTCTTTTGCGTATATTTCAAATAAAGCTGCAAGTGAACTATTATCATCTTTTGCATTTTATTAGCATATTTTAAGAACAGTGTCAATCACATATAGCAGAGTACAAAGGTGTTTCATTGACATAAAATTAATGCGTGCCGTTAAGGTCAAGATAAGTTCATACTTCTGTAAACCAAGTTAAAAGCAGATAATGTCCGGACTGGATTTTTACCCGTATATACGTATATGAACAGGTCAGCAAAGTCAAGTGTCAGATGCTCCTCAATAATGTTCTCTTTTTAAATTATCATTTACATCTTTAAATATAAGCAGTACAATGCATGAGCGGGTGACTATCACTGATTAACCATAGATTTTTACTAACTGATTTAAACGTTTTTAAACCCATAACGAAGGTTGGGTCTACATGAGGGAATTGACCTATTTAAGGCATAAACATTATAAAAGGTATTAAATTATATGAGAATGGTGCATTATATCACCGATTGGCGAACTGCAGTTGTTTATCAGTAGGTCAAAACTCTTCCATGTTTTGCAGAACCACAGGAGTCCGTTTGGATCTTTTTATCATACATGTACATGACTATATGAACACTTAAATTGACTAAAACTTAGTAAATTTTATCACATTGTTAAACCATTGGAAAAGAGACAGCTCTGCTTTAATACAAATGTACTAAATGTCTCTCTAGCAATAAGCCAGCCCTCATAGCTCAATCGGTTAGAGCGCGAGACTTGTAATCTCGACACTCTGGGTCTTTTTGATGAGACTTGAAATAGAGGTTCCGTGTATGAGTGCTTAAATACTTGACACACTAAAGAATCAGGATAAACTCCTGGAATAAGGGCATGTTTCTTGATCTGTATCTTGCACTATCTTCCAAAATACTCATCAGAAGGCTCGCCCATATGCGCAACCGATGGCGAGTATAATAAACTCAAATACACAAAATTAAACAGCATAAGTCATGATTGTGCACACATGAACATGTACATTGTATTATTCGTTGTCATAATTATATAGAGTGTTTCCGAACAATATTCAAAGTTTTCATATTTCATTAATTTATTGTATGACAATCAATGGTCCCGATTGGGCAAGTTCAAAATGTTATGTTAACGTTGGTCTATGTAAAATTGATATAGATGTTCTGTGAATCAGAAAAACAAACATTTTTACAAAAATTTTGTACTGATTATTTCGCGGACTTGTTTTTTTGCACTGCATAGTCATATGTATTTTATCATAATATGCCACATAAAAAAGAAATGCATGCATTTTTTAATATATTACTCATCAATTAAAAAAGTTGTCCTCATAAATTCTATATATAAAACACACCGACAAAATTGACTATAGCCAACCCTATAATCCTTAACAAGTCCCTGTGGAAATGTAAACGCTGGTTTTGTTAAAGATAATATTCGAACGGTCACAATTGACGTGGTTTAAATTTAAACATTAGGTCAAGATCGATAAATAAATACATTGTAAACATAAAGTGTATATAAAGCACAAAGCCCATCGCATTAAATAATTTATAGAAGGAATATATAGCGAAATTAAACAGGATTTAATTAGCAGTGGGAAAAATGACAGAAGTTCCGAAATCCCCGACGAATTCTAACACCCAGACCGGTCCCGGGGGTCCAGAATCAACCGGCGGTAGCGGGGGAAAGAAAGGAGACACTGTAGTTATTGCAATGGACGGAAGCGAGTATTCCGAATATGCCCTGCAATGTATGTACCATTTTATTCTTATACAAGAGTTCATTATCGCCGGTAATTTCAAAAATAAAACTTGTATATAGTGTGGTCATAATTGGATCAAATCTGCTATTTTCGATAATTGTTGTCATTGCTTTCAATGAATGTTTCTTTTATCTCAAAACTTGTATCAGAAATAGAATTGATTCTTTTTACCAATTTTATATATTTATTAATAGACCTGCAGTTATTATTCCCCCTTTCGCGTTTTTATGGATAACAGAGTCATTTATAACGTATAATTTATAATGCTATATTTCCATCCATTTATTTCTTAAAACTAAACACGTGTTCCAAAGTAAAGATTATTTGAGACATATTAAACATTGAGTCAAACAACAATAATTTAAAAAAAAAGACGGTTCAAATATATTTTGTAATCATTGCAAATCTTGTTTCAATATTTCAGTCTACAAGGATAATGTACATAAGCCTGGTAACCACGTCATTATCGTGCACAGTACAGAATATAAAACTATATCATTCCCAGGTGAGTATATTTAATTCAGATGAAAAACTGAGTATAAGTAAATCAACAATTACACAGTTCTGTACCTTACAAATGCTATATGAATGTTGTGATTGAGTAAATAATTTAAGACACAGTTGCTTTTCTTACGACTACTATATGAATGTTGTGATTGAGTAAATAATTTGAAGACACAGTTGCTTTTCTTACGACTACTATATGAATGTTGTGATTGAGTAAATATCTGAGACACAGTAAACTGTTGCTTTTCTTACAAATGCTATATGAATAGTGTGATTGGGTAAACAATTTGAGTCTTACGAATGTGTTATGAATGATAATGTATTTGTGTATGAAGCCCACTGTATATCAATCAACACCGATACTAGTACTTGCTTGTGCATCCGTAGTATTAAGCACAAACAATACGTTTTGACAAGATTTGTTTATCTTTAACAACAAGATACCGATGTGTAGAAACGGGATCACAGTATCATTTACTGCAAGCCTATACAATTCAAATATGGGTTATTGTGATAACAGCCTCCTTCTACTTCCTTCCGAGCACTGTATCATATATTGCAAACTTGTATCATTCTTTTGCGATCACAGGAAGTAGATGTGTTTCTGCACAGTGGACATTGTTGCTCTGTCTCACTAGAAGACAGTGATTAATAACGAGAGGTCACCTAGTAGGTCGTAAAGGCCGTGCAATTTAGTCCCCTCAAAACATGATATTTCGTGACAAACAATAATTGTTATGAATTCATTCAGGTTCAGAGATCCATGTACAGTTTTATTACATTTAATCATCTATATTGTTGCAGTATTTTTAACAAATACACGAAGTGCTTGCATATTTGTATATATATAGTATATTAGAAATTAATTAAAACGCTATTTTGAATTTGCCGTAGCTTTCGGCCCTTCGGCATATTCAAACTAGCGGTTTTTTTTAATTATATACGACAGATTAGAAATTTTATCTATTAAAAAGAGATCTACATTTTCATGTATATCTATATAAATTTACAGCTGTAGCTGTAATGGGAGGTAACACAGACATGACAATGATGACGAAAGAAATTGAAGCAGAGGAGATGAAGAGTAATGCATTTGTTGAAAAACTAACCCAGCAAATGGACAATCTTAAGGTAGGTTTACCATCTATGTTATCATGTACATGGTACACTAAACAAATACTTGACTTTTATCTAGGATGTCTAGTGTGCTCCTCTTATCAGTGACCTAAACTTGATGCAAAGTTTACACAATATTTTGCAACCAAGTGAGCAATGTTTTGAATATGCAAATCAAATTAAACATTTTTGTAAACAAGATAGCACATACAGCTATGAAAACTTTACTCTAATCTTCTCCCTACCGGTCGCTTAATTGTTTAATTTTCACTTATTAAACACCAACATATACTAACTATATAATAATTTTATCTTTTATTTGAAAAATGACTATTTTAGAATCTGGTAATTTCGGTAAAAGTGGAAAGATAACCTCATTTCTATTAAAGTAAAAGTTGTCAAATCATTTATATGCTTTTGTAGTGATAATGAACCAATATTTTAACAACTTTAAAATATAATCAGTTCAATGAAAACAAGCGCTTTAAAAAGCATCCGTAAAATACATCATTTGATTAATTATTTAAGAGTATATATAAAATATTGCTATTGCCATTACAGCAGCTCTTGATAAAACACATAACTTTTAGCCTTTTTATTGTTCGGTTTTAAGATTTGTATTTTATTTTTTAATGATATACAGATAGACGGAGAAATAGCCCGTATCCACGGCGAAGCCGGACCAGCTATACTTACTGTTGCACATGAAAAACACGCCGATTACATTGTAATTGGTTGTCGAGGAAAAGGCTCAGTGCGGCGAACATTCACCGGAAGTGTGACCGATTACGTATCCCATCATGCAGAGGTGCCCGTGATGATAGCACGGCATAAGGATCACTTAAAACACCATCATGGCTTCCATTTACATAATCCGTTCCATCACCATAAGAAACATGCCGAGAAAAGTCATACATAGTCATCATTTTTTTAACGGCTATTTATTTTTGACATGACATTTTGCTCATTTTTTTCGATGTCTAGTAAAGTATTTATAGAAATTAAAAAAAGACTGTCCCCATCTTTTTTTAAGAATTAATAATTTCTTGTACATTGAATAATGCCACTTTCAGTTTAACAGAAACACTACATCTACATGTACATTTATTGCTGTCAATTTGCAATTATTGAAATGACGTTTTATACATGTATATTAATTATAGATTAAATTCAAATAGTGTTTTCTTTTTTGTTTATCATTTTCAGAGACTTTTATTGCAGATATATTAATATGAAAAAGGCAAAGCCTCAAAGCGAGCTCGATGTACTTTTTACGTGAAATAGTATGAAATAACCTCAAATGCAGTGACGAGTGCGTGTGACGTCACACGTACTGTGTTAAATATGACCCCGTCCCTGTCGTGAAATGAATAACGAGTTTTGAAAACGTTGATAAAACTTTGTTTATTTTATTTCACTCTATAATTTTTCAAGCGAAATAAAGATTATTTTAAGTGAAATAAATGTAAAATTTAAAACGTTTGCGACATTAAAATAGCGTACTTGATTTGTTTGTTTTGCACGTGCTGTTTAGCGCTACATTGTGACGTCACGTAAACAATACTTTAAACGTCTGTACAGCGTTAACGACTGAATAAAAGATATTGGTGTTCGGATTCATTTTCTTAGTTAGACCATTTTCTTTCATTCTAGATAGTTTTCACAACAAAATTCGACAAAAAATTGTTTTAATTTATCAGATTTTTCAAACAAAATGGCGCCTTCAATTTTCATTTCCGTTCAGCTTCCGTTATTCTGGTTTCCTGTCCATAGACGTGCGCGGGTGACCAGTCTACACATCCGTTTTCAGTCAGAATTCCTCAGTTTTTATCGTTATCTTTAAATTCGAAAGGTTGCGATGTGTCCAATTCGGTACTTCGAACGAAAGTTTTCAAAACCATCACTTAGCAGGTACTCGCGTTACCGTAAAGCTCGCTTTGCGAGCAGGCCCTTCGGGCCAGCTCGTCGAGCTCGCTATAAAGCCCCATGCCATTTTATAACCATGTGACTATTTTTCAAAATACTTTATCTAATTACCAAATATAGTGTTTCATGATTATGGGTCGGAATGATTTTCAGCGTCGATTCAAAACCCACTTAAATTTCTAAGCGTTTTATCAGTTTGATTCTTGCCAAATATGTAGAACCGGGAGTGCCAAATATATTTTGAAGCGAACGCAAATCTATCATACATATATGAGTGTTAAAGAGGAAAGTGTGAAGACAGGAATGTTTCGAAGTAGAATCAATTATCAAAGACCAACGCGTTATTTCTGTTATTGATGCGTTGTTTTAACACGTAGGTATATTTATGAAAATCAAATACGTATGTTGTTTATACGTATATACGTTCCCATTTTTTTTGTCAAAACATCCGTATATTCTGGTCAGAACGTCCCCACTTTCCAAAAGAAAAAAAAAGCTTCCCACTTTTAACTTAAACGCCCCTATTCAGTTTTAATTGATGTAAATTGCATGTATTGAAATTATTGCAAATAAAGTAACAACAAACTAGTCTTATCCTTTTGCACACTTAATGTTATCACGAAAAAAATAAACATTTTAAATAAAGTGTCCATAGTACCACAGTTTACAAATACATGTGCATGTACGTGTACATGTAGTTGCAACCGCGTGTGAACAGATACGAAATAAATAAATTCAATACAGGGGTTTTCAAATTTTTTACTGAAATGTAGACATTAATCATGATAAGCATTTGGTGATTTGATTACCTGAAAAAAAGATCTTTGTTTTTAATTATCTATTAGTGCGAAAGTGTCCAAAATAGGGAACAGAACAGAACAGAACATAAATCATACATGTATAATAGCTGAAGCATAACAAGATTATCACCGTATGATGTATAAATGAAACATACACAAATGATAGCATGACAAAAGTACATGTATGAAAATAATGCATGTTGTAGATTTTTGAGACTCTTTAATGAGACAGAAAATTACATTTCAATGTACATGTATATGGATCATCCAATGCCTTTAGTTTTAAAAAGATTTACACACTTAAAATGAGAATCGGTTATGTCTAGATTCAACTTATTTAATAAACTACTAATAAGTACTAACCACTATATTTTGCTGCTTATTTTTTGTGTGTGAAAAATTCAGTAATATCATAAGGATAAATATCATAACAAGGGGAATAACTGTTTTAACTTACAATAACAAATATTAGCATTTACTTCCCTTGCATCAGATGTATATAAAGAGGAATGCATTGATTTGATAAGACTGACTATATAATGAAACGAGTTATTGATAATGATTCAGTCAAAAAACCATTCTTTTCTAAATTAACAATATCCATTGCGTTGTAAAACTTAGAATAAAAAAGAACTCTGAGTTTGGACTATTAATTAAAACCCCACTTATGAAAAATAAATTAAAAAGCTTCATATACATGTATGAGTACGAAGGGCATATTTTAATTAGTTGCAACAACTCAATTTAACTATGATTTGCACGTGAAGGTACATGTATAATATACCGTTGGAAAGATTATTGATTTTTCTAACCAACAGTCTATTTTCGCACGATTTGCGCGTGCAATAAAATTTTAGCACATGTGGTTTTGTATAGTGGTTGTAATCATGGATGAGTTACATTATGATTTAAGAGAGAAGCAAAGAGCATGTTGCAAAATAAGTGGGTTAAGGGTAAATGCGCGTCAGAAATTAAAACGGTATTGTATACCAAGAGAACATCTCAAAAATGCCATTTCAGAATGGATTCTGAGGTAGAGCTTTTGAAAGACTCTTCTTATCATTTTTCACAGGTATGACTTTAATAAAACGCGCTTCCGTTGCCACTAATTAAAATATGCCCCTCGTATGTGGATGACATGTTACTCAAAATAATAAGTTATTACAATGACAATGAATTTTTTGTATATAAAACGCAAAGCCATCTGGATTTAACGTCAGCATATTATAACAAAAATGTCTCGCAATTCATAAACCTTTATCACAAAATTATAGGTAAACTTTTGCGTTCTCCATTTTCTATCCATCTGCATCAATACAAAAATAATCATACTTGTTTAGGAATAATAGTATTTTGGAACGAATTGTCTCCTTAGATAAGAAAATGTCGGACATTTAAAAAGTGGAATTCATCTTCTATATCATTTAGATCACAGAATATATATAAATATTGGAATCTTTCGGTCAAAAGCAGATTATAGTCACCAAACCTATTATTGGGTTAGGAAGACGTAATGATGAGCACTTCATTTTTAGGTACACATTTGTGTCTCCCTACCTTTATATTTGTTTGACGACAATCTTATTTGGCCACATGATTCCAGTCTTTAACAGTCTCAATATACCTTATTTAGGACGACAGTTATGAGACTGCTAAATTAAATTCTCTCTATATAAAAATAATGATGATGATTCAATACCAGAATTCCAACTTACCATTTAATATGTATTCCTTACAATAAGTATTTGATTGATAACATATAGGTATTCAATAAATTGTAGCTGCCACAAATAAAGTCAATGTTCAGAAGGAGTTATCATAATTACCAGGGGACCGTTTTATCTATGTGTCGTAGAACGTTGATAAAACGGCCAACAGTTTCTCGAACTTCTCTCTGAACAATAAATAATGTTGATAGAAAATCGGCAGAAATATTTTATAAAAATTGGGGAATAACAAAACAAAACATAGAAAAAGGCAAACCATTGTGTAATTTGTAATCAGTTTTACTCAACGTTCCGAGATGACTAACTGAAGTTAACACATACTTTCTACGGCTGGAAGGTGAAAGGAATACTGGCATTCCCAAAGCTATTTTAAGAGAAAAAATATAGCAAGTGTTGAGTATATCTATGAATCATAGAGCATGCTTTTTCAGGTATGCTGCTTTAAAGGGACTTCACTGCGGTTTAAAAGCCTAAAAACATGATAGGACACTTTAAACAGAAATATAATATGCAAAGATAGTTAAGAAATATATTTTGAAATAAATTGAAAATCGACTTTTAATACTTTTCTTAGCTCGATGTGAGTGAAAAGCGTTTTTTACGCTTTTCATTTTGGGTCATATTTTTACAATTTGAATAATTATTCTGGAAAACGGAGTGCGCGAATGATCTGAAATTTTTCACAAAGATAAGTGGTCTTAACCTACATCAAATGGTACATTTATCTGGAAAAGATATTTTCATTCCCATCATGTCAAAAAACCACAGTGGAGTCCCTTTAAGTTAATTAGTAACATTGACACTTGGTAAACTAAAAAAGCATACATATAAAAGTATAATCTTTGTAAATAATTAAAAACAATCACTTTATGTCGCCTTTTTATTGAAATGTTCATACAATGTATAAATGCAAAATCCAACACATCATAATTTTAAGAAATATAAAAGTTCATGAACACAATGGATAACCCAGATATTACAGACCATTTTGTTGTTAGATGGTTACCAAGACAATAGCATGTATGTATATGTATAAAATATACAACAGACATCACCATAGCAACATCAGTATACAAAACAAGACGTAAAGCACATGGAATAATAGATATGTACATTAGTTTAAACATATTTCATTTAGCAAATATACAAGAATTTATCATTTTACATTACAATATATATACATTAGATAGTAAGAAAGGTTATCCAGCACAGATTTGGTTTGGAAACACTGTTAAGGTCATATTGCGACGTTCCATCATTACTGGCGGAGGACTACCTCATGTGATAAAATTAACAATCACTTAACAACATCAACAAATAACATAAGACAGAACACGCATGAAATGATAAATACAAAATTCAAAAAGTAAGAAAAACAAATAAAATTCAAATGTTTAAATGAACATACAAGGACTAGATTGCCATATATATGTATATGTGGTTCTTCACTTAACTAAAATATACCATTCGGCGATTGCAGAACAAAACTAACCATATGATCATGTTCTGCAATGGTCGAATGGTAGCCAGTATCCACGGATGTCCATGATTCGTTACCCTTAGACTTTCACAGTGCTAGATTGATACACTATATTTTCTTATAATCCAATGTGGTTCTATGATGAAGAAATTTAGCAGATACATTAAATCAATTTTGATGTTTAAAAATATTCAACTCTTTTCTTTCGTAACGAACATTTGTTGAGACTTTCTATCATACTCAGTAAGGGTGTTGACTGTAGGACAGGAATTTAGGGCACCCGACGGTATATATTTTGATCTTTTTCCCTTTAAATGAGAATGGTTATAATAAGATACTTGTTTTTACCTTGGCAACACTTAAAGTCACTGTAAAGGTTTAATTTATTATACTAAGCACGTTTTGTTACGGAATATCAGGAAGCTCACATGTAACTTGCACACGTGCCAGTCTGCATTCTATTTCTCTTTTATAATACTGCGCGTTTGTAACGTCATTTTTCATTGGATAATAGTTTTATATAACGGCTGCAGTAGACTCATGAAGAAATCTTACTTTTTTCTCTAAAAATGGTGCTTGCTGTATTATAAATTCATTATAAAGATTGTTGACAGGTTATATGGCTGTATATAAACGGCTGTTTGCAATATAACCCTCGCATAATGGCTCGGGTTATATTAACAAATAGCCGTTTATATAGGGCCATATAACATGTCAACGATCTTTATAACTAATAATGTAAACGGCATTTCCATGTCCCTTATTCGTTCAAGACTTATCTATGGTTAATGGCATTTTCTTATCATTTCCTTCCTGTAAAAAATACATAAAGTATTATTAAGAAAAATGGTGCAAATAAAAAATAGATATAGAAATGAGATTTCGATCGCAGGAAAACACAAATATCACCAGCTGCTATTCAATAACTATAAAACACCGGGACATATTTTCTTACATTGTCAACAGATGTTAATATATTATACCGTAATATCAATATTTCATGTTGCCGAGATACACATATGTGCGTGTATAATATCTGGAAGCTTGTTTTTATCATTTTTTAAGTCATCAGGAACAAAAGTTTGTCCGGAAAACAATAAAAGACTGGTTTTAAAGTTGACGATTTGACAACATGGCAGACAGGGAGCCGCTAGTTGACAGCCCGCTGGCAGAGAAGGATTATACACAAACTGTCGTTATTGCCATGGATGGAAGTGAATTCTCGGACTATGCCCTGCAGTGTAAGCGAATTTCATCCACTAACAATAATTAAAAGATTTACTTTTAGATCTATAGGTTTGCAAATTATCTTTTTTTAGAAAATCATTAAGATATTCCATTTTATATGACCAGTAACAAAAATTATAAGATTGTTGATTTTATTCTTGGATTACATTCAGCATTTTCATACATTTGAAGACCAATCGTTTGTTGTGAAATCATATTGCTTCAACTTTTTCCCTCATTTGTTAAATCAATATAACATTTAACGTTTATTGTTATTATACGCTTTAATACAGGTGTTGTTTGTTTATGATTTAAAAAAATAAAATAAATGTTCATGCATATACGACCATATTAACAAATCGGTCAATAACATATGTTACTCTCAATCAATTTATAATACAGACCTTGAATAAAAACTACATATGTCGAAATGTTTACAAAATTACTTTCACAAAGAACAATTTCTATGAAAATTTAATACGAAGTGCCAGATGTGTTTTTGTTCAAAATGAAAGAACCTTTTCAACATAAGACAGGACTTATACTGAAATACCCTTTACACTAACGGTAAATTGAGAGACCTTTTTCATCAATACGACTGGGTTTAAATTAAGAGACAATTTTCATCAAATATTATGAGACATTTTTCATCAGTAAGACAGTACTTACATTCAAAGACATTTTCATCAATAACAAAGGACTTATATTCAAAGACCTTCTACATCAATAAGACAGGACTTGCATTGCATTAATAATACAGGGTTTATACATGTATACAAATACCGTTTTATTAATAAGACATGTCTTATATTCAGAGACCCTTTTCATAAATTTAAAAGGAACGATAATAATGTGACATTTTACATTAATAGGACAGGACTTGTATTCAAAGATACTTTACATAAGTAAGACAGGACTTGCATTCATGGATATTTTACATAAATAAGACAGGACTTGCATTCAAAGATATTTTACATAAATAAGACAGGACTTGCATTCGAAGATATTTTACATAAAAAAGACAGGACTTGCATTCAAAGATATTTTACATAAATAAGACAGGACTTGCATTCAAAGTTTTTTTACATCAATGAAACAGGACTTGCATTCAAATATATTTTACATAAATAAGACAGGACTTGCATTCAAAGATATTTTACATAAATAAAACAGGACTTGCATTCAAAGATATTTTACATAAATAAGACAGGACTTGCATTCAAAGATATTTTACATAAATAAGACAGGACTTGCATTCAAAGATATTTTACATTAATAAGACAGGACTTGCATTCAAATATATTTTACATAAATAAGACAGGACTTGCATTCAAAGATATTTTACATAAATAAAACAGGACTTGCATTCAAATATATTTTACATAAATAAAACAGGACTTGCATTCAAAGATATTTTACATAAATAAGACAGGACTTGCATTCAAAGATATTTTACATAAATAAGACAGGACTTGTATTCAAAGACCTTTAGCCTCAATAAGACTTGACTTATATTGAAAGAACAGAAGTATAGATTATTGATAATTGTCGCGCATAGAATTAAGTAAAATAACCAAATCATTTACGCTGTTTGTATTAACAATAGAAATGAATTGTAACATGTTGATTTATTTTCAGTTTATGCTGATTGTTTACATCGACCGGAGAATAATGTTTGGTTAGTGCATGTGACCGAATATAAAATAATCTCTCAACCAGGTAATCCATATTGTTATTTGCAGTAAACCCATATAAGGGCATATGTCTTAAGACATACCGTGCTGAAAAATAGAAAACAAATCCTTTCCTTCATTCAACGACCTTTGATTGACCAGTTTTCGAATTCAGGGAATTACTATCCACATACATGTATTTGTTTAACCCTCAAATGTTCTACTGAAACCAACAAATATTTTTAATCGAAGCATGTATGATTAGATGCATTTTGGTAGGTCATTATAAGGTTCACCGAGAAATCAGTGAAAGATACCGAGTGAGCAAATGAAAAGCTCCTTGATGAATATCATGAACAGGTAGCTACATACAGTTGAGTTTGAAGAGAAAAAGAAAAAGAAAAAAATACAAACTAAAACACGGATGTCTTTACTGCTGAGATAAAATTTATACCACCTCTAGTAGTTGACCCATTCCTATCTTATTCCAATCTTTGTACCGAAAAATACGAGACATTTCAAGATCATAATTATTGTATTACAGCATTAGCTATAATGTCAGGAAGTACAGATATGTCGCTGATTACCAAGGAAATAGAGGCTGAAGAAAAGAAGACAACTGAACTGTTTGATCATTTGAAGCAAAAAATAAGTTTTCTGAAGGTACTGATTATTTTTTTTAATGATGAAGAATTAAATTATCAAATAAAAAAAAACCCATGTCATATAAACTTCCAAACAACTTGTGAACAATAGTGGATAAATATATATGTAGTGTATTACTCCATTTCTTTTTGTGTGTAATAAAATAAATAGAGCTTGAAAATGTTTAAAAAGGAAATCTATAAATATCTTTCTTAAGTTTGATTTTTTTGAAATTGTTTGACTCATCTGGAGGAATGCAACATTAACACTCTTCCGTTTTCAATGACAAGTATATATTTTTTTCATTCAATATAAATTGACAGATTCGTTTGACTACATTTGAAAATTATGAAAATATCTAAAACATGTTGATCACGTTGCCATGCTTGAAAATCAAAATATATTTTTCACGTTTTTTTCTTTAAGCTGAATGCTCACATAGAAAGTGTTCATGGTGATGTAGGGCCGTCCATCATCACATTTGCATCTGAGAAGAACGCCGACTTTGTCGTTGTCGGTTGCCGTGGTAAAGGAAAGATTCGCAGAACCTTTACCGGAAGTGTGGCCGACTATATCACTCATCATTCCCATGTACCAGTGGTTATTGCAAGAAACTCCGACCATCTAGAAAAGCTGCACATTCATTCACCTTTTAAACTGAAGAAACAATAAAGACGACGCATCATCTATAATTCAAAGAACTGTTTAGCTTTATTATTTCGAATTTGTTACAAAACCAAGTATAAATTAGACATTAGGATTTCTCCTGCGTAGAGTTACAAAGTCCTAATTAGGATATTTTTTCATCTCCTACGTATGAGATATAAACTCCTACATAGGAGTTATAAACTCCGTATGAGACTTTTTTATCTCCAACGTAGGAGTTATTCTTCTCTATAGAACATTATAAATTGGCACCAGGACGCTTCTATAGTATTTGGACGCTACTGTGTGATTAACGCGGTTACTATTCAATGGTGAATTTTAGTAAATGGTGGCAGCAGAAAAGAGGCGTGTAGGTTTTAAATGTCTTGAATCAATATGTAAAAATATTATGAAATAAATGTAGAATCTAATATATGCAACATTGTTAAGGATTATTTTTCTTCTGAGAGATTTATAATTATTTCACTAGCAAAGACTGACTGACTGACTGAATTTCTTGAAGAAATCCATAAAATCAATTGCAAAAATGTAACGTTTAAATACATTATAATAAACCAAATGCGCTTTGCTGTCCATTTACAGGAAGTATAGTTGATTGAATGATTAACAAGAGGACCACGTGCAGTGTAAATGCTCGCCTGTCAAAGGCAATGACTATCAATAACCGATTCTCCTAAATATTCTAAGTTAAAACGAGCATAACTCCTAAAATTATTGCTTTACAGGAGTATACCCTTTTCCCACAACTGTATATTATCATGAAAATAAAATATTCCAAGATTCTCATGTTGATATCTTTCGCAGTTTTTTAACCATTCTCTTATATAAACAATTTGACAAAAATTGTAAATATAAAAGTGCATATTTAACTCCTAACATAAATTTGTTCAGACTAATACCCCTAGTCTGACGACTGTGCCTTGTCACGATAAACACGTGATCAAAGTTTCATGCTAAAACCTTTTATATAGTTTTGAAATCATTCTACGTATGATAAGCAATTTTGACAAAATTTCTAGGTTAAATTAAAAAGGTATAACACCTAGCATATAGCTTTCAAATAATGCTCCTTGTTGTTCAACTTCTTCTTGTCCCGATAAGCAAGGAATTATATATCTTGAAGTTCTTTGAGTAATGGGCCACATTACGGTTTTTGCACGACGACAACGTCAATGACGATGACGACGCAGCGGTCATATGAGCTTGACCTTTTTTTCAAAACAAACGAGCTTATAACAAAATAAAGAACTTCACATCATACCAGTACCTCCTGTTTTAAAATTTCCATGAAGCAATTCACCTTTTTTTGAATTTCTTAATTGGTGTAAAAATGGACTCAGAATAATGTTATTACAAATCTGTACACATTATCGAGATTGTATGTATCTAAACGCGCATGTGCACTCGCATGTGTGCACGTAGATATTCATAACATTTTTTGTAAATATATTGACATTTAAGAAGAACTATTGCTACAAACTGTAGATAAATTTCCCGTCAGCATGACAAACAATGTTCATATATTCCCATCTTATCAAAACTTCGAACAACTAATCCCTGACAAAGACTAATTAAAAAGAAACTGAAATTGATTTTATATATCTGTTTATTATCAAGTCTGGTTTGTTGTGATAAACATGTATGATAAATTGTCAATTTGTACATGTAAGGTAGTTTATGTAAAAAAACTTAAAAGTAACTTTCTGTTACGTAAACGATCATGCGTTTAAGGGATGACCAAAAACTTCCAAGTTATGTTGGTGTGTAAATTCGTGCCTTTTCTGCACAAATATAAAAATATCATGATGATTTGTCAAAAGGTAAAAAAAATGTTCTCCAGTATATTTTTTTTTATATTTCTGTAGGCGTATACAATAACATTCGTTTTCATAGGAACACTTCGACCGCCTCTGTGGTCGAAGGGTTAGAGTCTATGACTTCTAATCCAGTTACCTCTCTGGCGCGGGTTCGATCCCCGGGAGTTGCTTTGGTAGTTTAACACGGAAGAAGGTAGTCTAGTACTGGTGTAACTCTCCAGGAACGATGGTTAGGAAATTACCCGCCTATATGACTGAAATACTGTTGGGAAAAGGCGTAAAATGAAATAAACAAACAAACAAACAAACAATGAACACCTTGACGATTATTCATAATAATCTCAGAGTTAATACTGATTGAAAGTGGTTCTACCATCTGCTTTCAAATACAAAACAAAGTATATAATCTTTCTATAATGAGTAACAAATAAATTTATTTGACAACTAACGGAAACTCAAAGTTAAAATCAATAATAATACTTATATGTTTAATTGAAAATGTGTCTGACAATCGTAATCAATCAAAGAATTAAATTAAAGAATGCCCATTGTCATCCCATTATAAACCGAATCACAAAACATCGTTCACAGTTATACAGCTTTTTCTTTGGGTTTCGAAAAATATAGTAGTACATTTGAGCCGCTCCATGACAAAACCAACATAATGGGTTTGCGACCAGCATGGATCCAGACCAGCCTGCGCATCCGCGCAGTCTGATCAGGATCCATGCTGTTCGCTATCAGTTTCTCTACTTGTTATAGACTTTGTAAGCGAACAGCATGGATCCTGATCAGACTGCGCGGATGCGCAGGCTGGTCTCGATCCATGCTGGTCGCAAACCCATTATGTTGGTTTTGTCATGACGCGGCTCATTTGTAAGTATATACGTAATGTACTTTTTTCAATTACATGCAACTTTTAAGTGGACTCGTACACGGTATTAAAAATGAACTAATTCAACAAATCCCAACATTTACTTTCATTTTATTTACATCTATATTTTTTAGTGTAGGTTATACCGAAGAACCGAATCCTTTCTTTGTATCCGACGACTAGCGGAATTCAAGTTTGTCTTCTCGTGCGTTTTCGTATAACTCCGGTGAAGTACGTTGGTGATAGGCGATACTTTTTCGTTCATAAGCACGCTACTGTGTCATTTGATACACAAAAATATAGACGAACAAAACAAGACAAGTTGTAATTTGAGAAAAGAACGAAATTGATCTTTTACGGATTGATATGGCTTAGATTTTGGACAGGGTGAAAAAATGATAATTTATAACTAGATAAAACCGATCATTAAAGCTTAACAAAAACATGTTTACAATCTAGCTTGAGAATCTCTGTCAATTGATAAAGATAAACTAGTTTTAAAGAATATGATAACAAAGTGATTATAGTCTTTTTTTTCTTGTTCAAGTATTTGACATTAAAGTGTATTGTCACCTTTGAGCATTGTAACACAGTGGTCTAATAAAGTGACATTTTTTTACAACATCGGTATAAGCTTGAACCCCGACAAAACAAAAATAAAACAACAAACGCAATGATATTGAAATATAAAAATCCGCATAAACAAACAAAAACAAAATTTGTTTTTTCTAAATCACTCTGTGTTTGTTATAAATTGCTGGTCAATTGTTCTGTGATCAGTTTTTGTTAAAGGAACTCCACTGAGATCCAAAAGCCTAAAAACATAAAATCATTTTTTTTACACAGATCCACTGGGGCACTTAGAAGAGAAAGACATGCAAAATATATTTAGGAAATATAAAATAATAAATTGGAATTAGTATTTTTATACTTTTTAAGTCCGAAATTAATGAAAAGCATTGCAGTGTGCTTTCAATTTTGGGTCATTTTCACAAATTAAAAAATCATTCTGGAAAAAGGTAGTAAGCGAATGGTCTGAAATTTTGCACACAAGTTATTGGTCTAGGCATACATCAAATGAAATATTCATCTCAAAAACAATATTGCCAGTCCCGTCATGTTAAAACAAACCTCAGTGGAGTCCCTTTAATGATTCTATCAACTTTAAACTTTTGTTTGTTGTAGCTTCGATAAAGAAATTTAGATCTTTTGATAAATTGATAATAGGATGATTAGCATAACTTTGCTCTCATTTTGTCGGCTTAGCTTCAGTTTGTCGGTACAGTTTTTTTGATATTTGGACATAGATGGATTTATAAGAATATTTAGTATTCCTCCGGTCATTTATTTATATAATTTACAAAAAATAAACATTTATCTTATTAGCGGACGGGCCTCACGGTGAATAATCGTTTGAACGTAGGCGACATTAACGTCAGGCCCGACGTCAGTCCAGCATAACACAAGGTCGTCAGTCAGCATTACCATGTAGTCTTTTTCTATTTTGGTTTATTTTACCTTGGAGTCTGTTTTTGGATAATTTCGAATTCACAACAAACAATTTTAAGATATAATAATAAGGTTTATGCTAATATCGACCTTACCCTTGAAGAATTGAAATTAAAAACGACATTGAACTTGCTCTTTCAAGTGCAAAAAAATACAGATAAAGTCACGTTATTTTACGAGTGTAATGGACCGTTTCATGAATTAGGGGGCTACTTACGTTACATATAATAGAAATAATTACCGTTCTATATTGTTAAATAAGTAACTCCATATCATTTTATTATTTGACTTTAAGACATTCAATATTAAAATCTATAAATGTTAGACTTTGATATTGGCTGTACATTACGACAAAGAAAAAAACAATCAAAGAAAAATAACATACACAACCGTGGGTTGATAATCTATTGATTTTGAATAAATATTATTTTCCTATTCTCGCTGATAAAAGAAGGATTTTAGGAGTTTAAAGTATGGCTGCCGTAACCAAAAATCCGGTGTCCAAGGACGGGATTACCGTTATTATCGCCATGGATGGCAGCGAGTTTGCCGATTACGCTTTGAAATGTAAGTTTTTATTTTGATTTACCTTTTTTGTTTGTTGTCCAAAGAGATTTCAACATGTTATATGGTCAAAACTTATAAAACTAAAGCTGCTATTCATTGGTTAAATGGCAAAAACAGATTTTGAACGGCCATATAACCTGTTAGAAAATCTTAATACCGTAATTGTAATAAAGTAAATAAGTTACTGTATATCATTCAAATAAATCATCAAATAAAAGAATAAATAACAAGCGATATTTGTTTATGGTGGCTTATTTGAAACACTTTTGTTTGTCGAGTTGTCGCTAGCGACAGCACGACAAAGCGCCAAAGGGCGCGTTGTAGCACAGTCTTGTCTCTAGAGAAGCACGTCAAACTGCGCGTTGCCGCCCTGTCGCTTCGTATGTAAGCCAATGCTTCGATTTGAGCGAGCGACAATGTGACATCGCGACAACAAGCCGCACGAGAACGCAACGTTTGGCATGCATCGTTAGCGACAGGACGACAACACAAAAGTCCGACAAATCGCCGTTTGGCGCTTTATCGTGCTGTCGCTAGCAACACACAAAAGCGGTCCAAATCAGCCACCATACAATACATTAAAGAGTATAACATAAAATTATTGCAGGACTCGAACCCACAACACTGTGGGGCTAGTAAATTTAAGTCAATGATATAAATGACTCGGCCACAGAATCCCAACGAAGATAATGCCGTCTGCAATTAATGTCGTTCTTGAGTGGGATAATTTACAGAATCTCCTTAGGAGAATATTTTATTTCTTAAAAATCATCCAGATCAATAAGCAATAAAATCGTTTCTGTTTTATTTCAGTTTATGTAGACTGTCTTCACAGACCAGGCAACCATATTATATGTGCTCATAAATCAGAATTCACGTGCATTACAGACCCAAGTAAGTAATATTTGTAACCATTGTAAAGGATATTAAATAATGCTAATGAGTTTAATACTGAATTTATTGAACGAGTTGAAAAAAGTTATATTATGCGAGTCTCTCGCGAGCATGATATTCTTTTATTCAACGAGTTCAATAAATTCAGTAATGAACTTACACACAGATAATATTCTATTTACATTCACATACCAAAAATAAAGATCGTTTAAAGTGCAAAAGAATCATTTTTCATTGACGCGCCTATAGTAAAACGCTAACATTTAGCTCGTCTTTACAATGTTTGTATAACGCAAATGACGTCACGTCAAAATATCAATACAATTTTTACGGAGTCGCAAAAGCGGCATTTGTAAGACTGTGATAAATAACGTCATTTTTTATCCTTCATTTTACTTTTTTTCTCCTACAATCACAATTGATCTCAAAAATTGAGTCTAAGTAATAAAAAAAGCATTGAAACACGAATCTATTTGATTTGTACGAAAGACCGGAGGGGACGTTTCAACTTCACGACTTCAGCGTCATGAATTCTCGATTTCAACTTCATGATTTCACGATTTCAACTTCACGAGTTCACGATTTCAAAGTTGAAATCGTAATTCGTGAAGTTGAAATCGAGAATTCATGAAGTTGAAATCGTGAATTCGTTAAGTTGAAATCATGAATTCGTGAAGTTGAAATCGTGAATTCATGAAGTTGAAATCGTGAATTCGTGAAGTTGAAATCGTGAATTCATGAAGTTGAAATCGTGAATTCGTGAAGTTGAAATCGTGAATTCACGAAGTTGAGTTCGTGAAGTTGAAATCGTGAATTCGTGAAATTGAAATCTTGAATTCATGGAGCTGAAATCGTGAATTCGTGAATTCCGTGTGTTGAAAACGGAAAATCACGAAGTTTAAACTGTGAATTCATGAAGATGAAACCGGGAATTCATGATTGAAATGGCCCTACCGGTCTTTCGTAGATTTGTACGAGTGGGCGAGTTAATCAGATTTTTGTCTTTATAGGCAACATTAAAAACACGTTCCATGTCGTCATTATTAAACCCTAGATAAAAGTAACCAATGTACGAGCATCTGATCGTTATCTCTTTCTCTGTCGTACAATAAGTTAACCACAGAAAAAATGAACATACTACGTTTATCCGCCCGTTAGTCAGTTCGTCCGCTTTAAGAATCGGTACATAGATATAGAAACTGTATATTTTCTTGGACTTTATTATTATAGGTTTTAACGATAATGTATGTTTATATATTTCTATGTTCTTCACATTTGCTGATATTGTAACCGCCGCCATCATGTTAAAAAGGATGAACATGTACTTATTCATTTGCTGTATAGATTTTATTCTGCTAAAATCTTCACTTAGTTAAATAAAAAAACCAAAAAAAAACAAAAAAAAGAAAAATAACAAAAAAATAAACAACAAAAAAACAAACAATAAAAAACAGATAGACACAAATTGATTGACACTATTCGTTATACTGAGAGCCCATGTTTGGAAAATTCAGGTATTTATATATTGATGTACATGTATATAAAATATAGGTCCCTAGAACGTTTGTAATTATTTGCCTACCAGTCTTAACTCACAAGTTGATACTTAGGTAATTATAGTAAAAAAAGCACGCGTCATAAAAGTATTTCCCGACCTTGACCACTGCATAGTATTTTTCAAATCTATATTCCTTTCTCTTTTAATTAATTATCAGTTTTGAAAAAAATGTTTTTGTTACGTGACTTTGATGTAAACAAGGTAATATGACCTTTATTGTACAGGCAGCGTTAAAAGTAATGTACTTTACTGTACACGCGGAAGCACACAACGTGTCTACGGATATAGGGTATATAACTGTGCGTAATGTTTTTTGTGTTTGAAATTTTTAAACAGTAAAATTATGCTGTTTTCATAATCTAACGTCCTATTCTGTAAGTAGTTACATAGAATGTCTTGGTTATTTAACACAGATGCATATTGTGTGTAAACTGAGTAAAATGTTCTGGAACAAAATAAAGCTTTTAGCTTTCTGTTGAAGCCATTTTAACATGATATTGTATAAATTTTCTGTATGTTGTGTCGCATTGTAACTTGACAAAAGTTAAATATGTTTAATGCAACAAAATATCATGCCGCCATTTTAAGAACTTTTATCTCTTTAGCAATGATTTCGTTGATGTTAAGAACATATGAGCCGCGTCATGACAAAACCAACATAATGCGTTTGCGACCAGCATGGATCCAAACCAGCCTGTGCATCCGCGCACTTACAAACTTGCTTGCATGATTTCAGTCGCCATGAATGATAACTCCCTTTCCCTGTCTAAAATTCCACCAAATTATTCCCCTTTCAAATGAACTTAAAGAAGGGACTTTTTAAAAATACTTTGTATTTATTTATTCGATTTTTTGTTCAGAAACGGACATTTTTTTCTTTACCTTTGTATAATTTGCTTTATATCTATATATGGTTCCTATGGTAAACATATGAGTTTTGATGGTAAACAAATGAATTTTCTGAACCGAAAGTAATCTAACACATCACATGTAAACAATACATTAAATCGGTAAGAATATTGAGATATTTGTTTGACTATCAGTTTCAAATGCAAAATATTAATATGGAAAACAACTATGTGTAGTTTATGTGTATTGTTTTAATGTGTTTGTCTGATATTTTAGTTGTAAAAGCCATGTACACTTAGTGTCGCTTCATAGCAAACCGACTTTAAAACGTGAGCGGTAACTGAACGAGATATGGCAAAGCGCATGCTCGCGCACTGACTTCCGCTCTATCGAAATACTGCATATACATATAGCGAAAGTTCGTAAGTGCCGCGCAGTCTGATCAGGGCTTACAAACCCTACAACAAGTAGAGAAACTGATAGCGAACAGCATGGATCCTGATCAGACTGCGCATTCACTGCGCGAATGCGCATGCTGGTCTGGATCCATGCTGGTTGCAAACCCATTATGTTGGTTTTGTCATGACGCGGCTTAAATTACATTACAGTTACGGGCAATATATCTGATGCTGTTGCTGAGATGGCTAAAGAACTTAAAGACATTGAAGAGAAATCAGCTGAGTTTGTTGTCAATGTCGCCCAGAAGATGAAAGAGCTAGGGGTAATTTTTTGATGAAATCTTAAAAGCTTTTTAACGATTATCATATAAGAAACACATATTACTGATTTCATGACTTTGATATTGAGGCTCTTTATCATGTCTAAGAAGTAGTTGAATTGTTGATAGACTTTCACTTCCTCTTCTGTCTTTTAATAGAAATATATAATGATATTTCGAATGCCTGACATTTAGTTAACAAATGTATCTAAAATCGAATGTTTTGTAACTTGAAAGCAATTTACAGGCAAAATTCACTACGTGTTAAAGTTCTTTTATCGTGCATATGTCTTCAGTGAATATTTAAAAAAGGCGCAATTTCTTTCTTTTATTTGTTCAGGTGCATGGCACGACTGAACGTGTTCGTGGTGATATTGGACCTGCTATTATAAATTTGGCCAAAGAAAAGAACGCCAGCTATATTGTCGTAGGATGTAGAGGTAAAGGTAAAACGCGCAAAACGTTCACCGGAAGTGTCACTGATTACATATCCCATCATTCCCATATACCGGTCCTGGTTGTGAGGAATGAAGAACACTTGGAACAGCTTCATGACAACGCGCATGCGCACTTGAAACACGTAAAGAAACATGCGAAGAAACAAGACACGCATACAGGACACCCAACAAAAGCTAGTCATGAAGGTTCACCTCCAACTAAACACAAATCAACAAAATGAAATAATGCGGCTTTCCACCTTAGACATTGATTTTACACAGTTTACGGCTATATTTTTTACTTTGTTTCAAATGTATGTTTAACATGTCTTAAAGATCGTTTATAGAGTCTTTAACAGTTTAGAGTTTTATTAATTTTTATAGTACATGTCATGTATATTATAAAAATATACATCTAGTTGTATACATGCTTAGTGTTGTTTTATTTCATGATAGTACAAGATAAGACAATGTAATTAATATTGTCATTAGTATAGTCTTTACACAGAAGTTCACTAAATTCTTAGAGATTTATGGTAAAAATTTCACACTTAAATCCTATTTTATAAATTGAAATTTACAAAACGGAATCGATCCCCTCATTTTTATTTCGGTTTGAAGTTTTTCCTGTACCATATTCTATGACCATGCAAAGCTTTCATAAAAATCCTATGACATACTTCTTATTCTGCATATATATTTACGATGTATGTCTTAGACTTTATGAAAATTATAGCAAATTTACGTCTTTCATGATTTTGTTACTTTTAGTATTACTTTTTATCATTTCTTATTCAGCTCGATTTGAAGCTTTGTCTAATTCACGTGACAGACTTTTTGACCATTTATGGTATGAATACCTCGTAAATCTTGGTGAAAAAAAATCCATTGTTGTTTTCGGAAAACAGGGATTGGTGTTCGGCTTATAGTGATCTCGGGACCGTGGGTGATCTTGCACATCCCATTACCTCTCATGAACAAGAGTCTGCAATCTTCACTTTTAAACTTTGTTTTGAGTGCTCTCGAAGGATTCCCCCTTTTTGAAACTTTTGTTTATACAGAATTTATTTTAGTTCGATAGTGTAGCAAGCTTTTCGCTTATAGACAAACTCTATAATCGTTCCTTGAACTAACCTGTGGTAAACTTTCTTGATTAAGGAATCAACCCCTGAACGGGTATGAACCCACGCGTATAGCAATCCTTGTAGTACATGCACTAGTCCGATGTGTTCACAACTCGGCCATGCCGCTATATCCAAATTTTAAAATTTCATCATCATAAATGTTAATATATATTAAATATCAAGTATTTTCAACATTTATGAAAAACAATTAACTATTTTTTGTTTAAAATGCATTTTGTACAGAAAAAATGTGTTGAAAAAATTACGAGTCTGAATGGCTTAAAACAATTTTCATACTTTTAAAATCCATATTTATGTCACAAACTATATACATATTAAAATAAGGATAAACAATGCTAATCATTACTTGATAAATAAATGTGATTTAAAAATGTTTCTAAGACACATGACTCTCAACCGCCGTTGTGTGAATTGAACTTAATGAATATTAAATTACCATTTTAACAAACAACTGGCAAAAGCGGACTTTCGTGTGTATTTTGGTCCTACTTACAATAACCAATAAAAGAGATCATTAAATTTAATGTCTTAGATCATTTCAATGTTGTTATACGTATCACATTAGAACATACTCGGTGTTGTTACCTTTGTTCACATTCAATTAAGTAAATAATGTTAAAATCTACATAGTTACGTAAAGTATCATTCACATTTGTTTCATTGTACAAACTATACATGTATATCTTCACTTAGAATCTATTAATATCGCTTTTCAAACAAAAAAAATGAATATATAAATTAATATATGAAATACATATGCAGCTATTGTAAGTATAGGTTTATTAGTTTTGAAACTTACTCATGTTTTACACTTTCAGCACCATGCGATAATTTATTTTTGTCGAAGTTTGACGTCAATTTCCTTTCTGTTTTTCATTCGCTTTGCACCATCTTGTTTTAGATTTATTAAGAGGGTCAAGAATACAGAATAGGAAATTGACGACAAACTTCGACAGTTAGTTCTTTGTTTACTTGACAATAGTTTACCTTTTTAATACATTTTCAAAATGTTCATGAAAATAGGCACGATTCTGGAGGCGTGCTGCATTACGTCAGGGCAGTTATCGTATTTACGCATTGCGGCACTTCCTATCCACGTTAATTACCAAATATATATCAACAGCCCATACTGCGTTAGTCAACAGTAGTAATATGGTGATAAATACAGTACAATTAGCCATTCATTGCATATAAGATGTATATCATTTCTTGTTTTGTGAATAATTTTTCTTTTCTTATTTTATTTTTCCTGAAAGTTGGTTTTCTTAATCATTTTCGGGAGATCTGGAGGCATGAAGCTTAAAGTTGAAACCATAACTTTTATGGATAGCAGTAACTTAATGGTTAAAGTGTCTTCATACTAGGCACCATGGACTCGTATTATACTGGGATGACGACCATGTTTCCTCATTTTACAGTTATTAAAGCATTTCCGAGAGTAGTGAAATTTTTATTCTAAGGACGAAAAATGAGATTATAAACTAGCGCAGTATTGTACTTCACAATTTACAAGAAATCTCATATAAAATATAACGGAAATTAGTTAGAAAAGAAGTTATAAAGCCATGTACGATAGACATTTCAACTACATTAATTCCCGATTTCATCTTCATGAATTCACGATTTCAACTTAAATTCATAAAGTTGAAATCGTGAAGTTCAGGCATGAGTTCATGAATTTGAATTATAAAGTTAAACTCGTGAATTTGTAAAGATGAAATCATGAATTCATAAAGTTAATAGTAAATTTGTGAAGTTTAAATTGTGAATTCACTTGGCTGACATCGTTAAGTCCAAAACGTGAATTCGCGAAGTTTTCGTGACGTTGGAATCGAGAATTCGTGAAGTTTAAATCGTAAATTCGTGAATTCTGTTTGTTAAAAACGTGCATTAACGAAGTTAAAATTAAGAATTCACGAATTTTAAGATGAAATCGGGAGTTCATGAATTTGAATTGTCACAATCGGCTTTTTGTTTCGATGGGATATAATAACAGTTGACGGCAAAGTTCACCATCCTTATGTATAAAATCACTAGAATTTCCGTTTATTTACCCACTTTCTTCTGATTCAGAGTTATAAAAGGACCAGTTATTGACGTCATAAATACTGCTAATTTTAGTTACTGTTTCCGGTTGAACGTCCAGAGCTTTTTAACCATGTTGAGTAATAGTGACAGAAATCGGTTAACTTTTGTCAACATCGATTAATTCGGATGATGTATAATTGATTACTTTGCGAATATTGATCTCTTTAACCAGAAGCAATTTTAGCAATCTACTTAACTACACGTATAAAAGTACAGTTTTAGCTTTATAAATATATGGAAAATAATGACCCTCGGAATCAATTAAAATTGCAAAATTACATGAAAATTGCAGACTCGGTCCGATTGCGCCTGTACAATGACGGATAATGAAAAGTGCAATATTCCTTATGCCTCCTAGCACCGGTTTGAGCGGTACTCAATTTTTCAACCCCCTGAAAATTTGCCCCCCCCCAAACCCCCAACGCCCTTTTTAAAACTAAAAAAATGACCAAATTTTGGCCTTATTATTGTTGTAAAACAACACCACCTACAACAACAAAAAAAACAACAAAAAACCACCAATAAAGATTCTTTTAATTTATACATTCATAATATAAAGTTTAGTCCTTTGCTGGAAATAATACTATACATGTACACCCAATGTATATACATATCTAAACGGCATTGTAAAATTTCCATAATTCTTGAATAATTATAGCAATGCATAACTTCTAGGGCCTTAAAACCCGGGGCCTATACTACCTGACTTTTTGTGATCTCCGGTGGACACAACCAATATAAAAGAAAGTTAGGGCATTTTTGTCTTCGTTAACTTTTAAATATTTCATTTTTTAAAGGATTAAATGTAGCCACAGCTTGGAATGACTCTGGGTTTAGGGAGTTTTTAAATGTGGTGACTTTTGGATATAAATAACTGTTACTGGTTTTTTTAAAATTCATTTCCAGCATCGAAACTGTTTTTGTGACTACTGTTTATAAACTTTAGCAAATTGGAAAACATGGCAATTAGTCACATGCTGTTAATTATAAATGTCAATTATGTCATTTTCTGTAATTAGTGCATTTTGACTACATACCCGATAATATCAAGTCTGCTTTTGTACGATATTTTGCATGGCGGTAGCTAAGGCAGTTACTTTGTTTCGGCAGCCCCTTTTATTGCATTAAAACCATGTTGTTTCAGGTCTCGGACCACAATGGATTTTGAATTTTTACGGAATGAATCTCATCTTTAAAAACTGCCTGACGAATGTATGAGAGAACATTTAATATGTTCATTGTAATGACATAAAAGTCTCTTCTTTATCCTGCTGTGTGGCTTGGAATTAGTGATATCAGACGTTTTGATGGTTGGACGTTGATGACAGGAACTTGCCTAAATAACTGACTGTCCTTACCAAACGTCCTGGGGCGGTTACTTCCCATAATCACTACATAAGCAAAATGTGGCGTATTCTGTGCGATGTCAGCGGTTGGCAACAATCGGAATAGCATCATATTGAGTTATCTTAGGAGTGTCACAACCTCAGGGTTACGCGCATTTGTAACATGCCGCAATGCGTCTTATTTCAACGTCTCATCAACGACAAAGTCTACATATAGCAGTCAACCAGTGGCTTATCTATTAGTTTAAACATTTTCACATATTACATCACAATTTCAAAATTTAACTGACAAAGAATAACCAGTTTTTGATTTATGTCGTTTAAATGCTATTTCGACCTTTATTTTTTAATTGAATCAATCAGGTATTAAAAACACCGTACATGCCAGGACAAGATGTCATTTGCAGAACGTAACATAACATTTTTTCTATTTTGATTTTTTATTTAAATATCTTTGACCTTATTATGTACAATTTCTTACATAAAAATTTGATTGCGTGATCAGTACGTGATGGTTTCCATGTCTTTTCAAGCTATTGTTTTCGCCAAACTTCACCTCCTGGACTGCTTTGCGTCAGAGTTGATAACTTTATTTGTATTTATTTACGTGATATTTTCGTGTCCATTCTATTTTAGTAAATGTTCTTTTTCCACGATAATAAAGATTTAATGTATTCAATGCATGTTCTCTTTTCATGATGGAAGATCAGAGTTTAGCATGCTGGCTGCACCAGATTCTACCCAAGAGACCAGTGCAGACCAATATCATATGGCTCGTCTGTGCTAACTGATCATTGTCTGCACTGTTTGCCATTTAGTCAGTACAATGTACATGTTTTAAAATTTCCC